TCAAGATTGATTTTCACCGCTTGGTGTTGACATCAGTGTCCACTTACATATATATATATATATATATATATATATATATATATATATATATATATATATATATATATATATATATATATATATATATATATATATATAGGAGACGACTTTATTTTGTAACCAAGAATTTAATTTCTTCTTTTCTGGTAGCTTCCTTTTGTATTGCTGGCTATGATGACTAAGTAGACCCATTCTTGCATGGAAGAACCGATGGTATTTGACTGCATAGTAATGTTGGCAGAGGGCAATTTTAATTTTGTCGTTTGATTTTTCCCTTTTCTCTTTTGTGGCTTCGAATTTTTTCGTTCCGATGGTGGTGGAAATATCGCTGGTTGTTACGGTCTTGTGCATGTTTCATAGGATTTAATCTCAAGTCAAGGAGCTTTTGATGTTGTTTTGAGTTGGTCCTTGAATCTTTGAAGAGATCAACTCCGTGGTCTTTTCCTTAAAGGGAACTCACTAAATAGGACCTGATGTTTTGAATAGTTTTAAGAGCTTTTTTAATATACATAAACCTTTTTTTAATGTACTAACATGTTTACAAGCTAATTCACGCTTAGAGACTTTTTAAAATGAGTATCTGTTTATTCTCTACGCTCTCCAAATCTATTGTTCTTGTAATTGTTTTAAGAGCTTTTTAATATACATAAACCTGTTTTAATGTACTAACATGTTTTCAAGCTAATTCACGCTTAGAGACTTTTTAAAATGTGTATCTGTTTATTCTCTACGCTCTTCAAATCTACTGTTCTTTTAATTGTTTTTAAAAGGAAAGAGTCAGCGCGCCGACATTTCGAAATAAATTCAATTCCTTAGATACCCATTTTAAAAAGCAAAAAATGATATCAAATAATTTAATAAACTTATATTTGTTTATTAATTATTATTGCTATCATTAATTAATTATTATTGCTATCATTCAAATAGAAAAGATAAAAAAAAATAACACCGGATCACCTTAGTTAAAACATTTGTATTAAAGCAATAAAAACAGACGTCATTAAAAAAGACAAAAAATTCCACAGAAAATTCCACAAATTTCACACCAGCCAATACACCGCAATTTATGATATACAGGACAATTTTCAAGGCTTACGTATTACTCTTACGTATTAGTATTCATGATAAACTTTCAGAGGACAGCCATATTTCCCTAAGTGAATGCATTAAGAGAAAAGTACGTGATATGTTTTTTGGAAGTATCCCAAACAGCCGACATTCATGGCCAAAAAGGACATTCGAAAAAGCTAAGCAGAATATTAAAAGTAAAATTTCATTGGAAACAAAGAAATGTATATCGAGCTGTTCCGTGATATCTGTCCTTTTAGATGCCAGAGAATACTCTACACTCTCCTCAAAGATGAAGAATATTTGAAGCAGTAGAAAAGTCGTTCTACAGAAGAATGCTGAAGATATCATGGACCGAACTTGTGAGCAACCAGGAAGTTTGGGAGTGAATTGAAACGAAACGGAAACTTATGCTTAACATCAGGAAGTGGCAGATGAAATTTCTGGAGCAAGTACTAAGGTAGGAAGGCTTGGTAAATCTGATACTCACACAACAGATAGAGAGAAAGAGGGACAGAGGAAAGCAGCGCATGACCTACTTGATTGACCTGAGTGAAAGGATGCGTTTGGAAGAAATAAGAAAAAAGGAAAAACTTTCAACAGCTGCAAGGGACAGGAAGATGTGGAGAATCGTGATAGACACGACATGTAAAGGAAGTAGAAGTCGAAGCACCTATAAAAATCTTTATTTCTTTTCTGTTTCGGAATTAATTCTGACGTGTTGCTATCACTCTCTATTCAAGACAAATGTGTAAAAAAAAAAAGAAAAAAAAAGAGACACGTGCATTTCATGTGAATGAGGCAAATGGATGAAATGCTGACTCTCGATTAAGGTAATTGAGTTCCTTTCCATTTGACGTTTTATACCTAGAAGTTCTCGTGGAGCAAAAGCAAGTGCCAGTTACGTCTTTTTGGCTCTCAACGTATCATTGGAATGCCAAATCCTCGTCTATTTCTAGTTCGCTTTGTCCCACTAGCGTAACTGTTCGACACCTGGCTTGCACATTTGATACGTGGCCCAAGATTTGTCCCGGTCAGCAAGTCTAATTTGAAAGTAAGCCAACTATGTTCTCTTCTCGAAATCAACAGTATTCACCTCTTGGCTTGGTACTGTATAGCTTTTCACAATTAATAGAGGAAGAGGTATCTGGACAATTCAAACCTTTCTTCGAGTTGAGACCATTCTGCTCAGTTATTGTGTTATTTTAGGAACTCAGTCTGAAAAGCGAAAATAAGAATGTAACAAGTTTGTAGTAAATCCATATACTTCCTTAATCAATTTTAGTCAGTCACTAAGGATTTAGATTAGATTATTGTATTTTCTATTATATCTTCTATGAGACACAATGGACATATGGAATGGTCATTGCAAGATATATTTAGATTATTTTTAAGCTAATACTGACACTATGTCAAATTTCAATATGCGGTTATCTCACAGAAAATTAATATGATTAAGATTTTGGCAGTGTGGCGTGGAACAAGATCTTGACGATGGAAAAACGGGTGGCATTCTTTTTTTCTAAACCAGCGACTTCAGATAAGCTAAAAATTACCCGCCAAAGATAAAACAAAAAGAGCTCTCTCTCTCTCTCTCTCCCTCTCTCTCCCTCTCTCTCTCTCTCTCTCTCTCTCTCCCTCTCTCTCAAATGCTCGGACGAAATGCATTAATTGGTTCCGCCAGGTCTAATCTTCGCGGCTAGGGCCCGCCATACTACTTTCATAGTAGCAAGCCATGCACATTCCCTCCGTATTCCATTGGAGAGAAGTAAGTTCCACTGGAACAGATTCTTGCCGCGAACCACTGTTCTGTGGAATCAACACCGAAGATCGGTGTAACCTTAACCTGTTCAAGTCTAGTGATAACCGTTATCTTCCCTTCCTATACACATAAACTGCCACTTAACGTAACCCTCTACATCGAGTGACCAACGGGCCTTGTACAGCATTAACCTTACTGTAAAATTCACTAGAAAAAGACTAAAAGACTAAAAAAGAACATAATATTTTTGGGGGCCAGCATAATTTCAGCTTGCAAAAGAATGGCCGAAATATTTTCTCCAATTCTGTTCTGTGTTCCATGACTATCTTTTCAGACCTGAGTGAATGATTTATATCAAATGGTATGACGACCGTAAGCAGAAGTTATTCTGTGAACCTATTTAAAGTTAGACTAATATCTTCATCTTTGTTGTTATTATCACAACGTATCGGCCGAGTTCCAATTCCGAGCAGTTATTCATTACACCACCCAAACATCCAACCTTACAGCACCTGGTATTCCCAAGAGGTCACCCATCGAGGTACTGGACAAGTTTGACCTTGCTTAACTTCGGTGATCGTACGAGAACAGGTGTTTCAACGTGATATGGCCGTAAGTCTCCAGAAAAGAAGATATATTAGAAAGAAAAAGAAAAATTTAAACAAAAATACCTTTTCAATTTTGTTCAACGAAACAGAGGTACACACATGTCTATGTACACACATATAAGTATACACACAATACGCATATGTATTTTTATTTATTAATCTAATAGATAACGGCATTTTTAGTGGATGCCAGTATTTGGGCAGGGGTTCCGTTTATTTATTAAACATTATATTTATATATTTCCGTCTACCGGCCTGGATATCTTATCAAAGAAAAATATGAACTCTCTAACATTATATATATATATATATATATATAGAGAGAGAGAGAGAGAGTGCTGTTCGATAAAAGTGACTCACCTGATTTTTTTTACTAAATGTTCTCTTCTCCGATGAAACGAAAGTTGAGCTAAATTCAAAGGATAAGCGATCTAAAAATCCGAAGAATAATCTTTGAAAGCTCTTTGAATTTAGCAGTAAGTACTGTCAAGCATTCGTTCAGTATAATGTGCTGGGGACGCTTTTCTTTTCATGGAACTGCTTTCTTAAAACCTATTAAAAAGACCCTCGGGAGCGAGCAGTACAAGAGAATTTTAAATTCTTGTCTGCTCCCTTCTGCTGAAATGGTGCAAATCGACCCCACCAAGCTCATTTTTATGCAGGATAATGCTCCCTGTCACAAATCAAAATTGATGAAGGAATACTTTGATGAGAAGCAGGTGAGTTTTATGACATGGCCGCCCCAATCTCCTGACCTCAACCCCATAGAAAACTTATGGATCATTATAAAGTACAGGCTTTCGAGAAAGAAGTTGAGCAACAAAGAGGATTTGATTGTGAATTTCATATCCGAATGGAATTCAGTGCTTGGAGATGAGATTTGCCAGAACCTAATCATGTCAATGCTAAAAAGGGTTGAAAAGATTATTCAAAATAAAGGAGGACCCATAGATTATTAAATATTTCGAACTATATTACCTATTATAAATAAATTATACCTCTATTATTCTTTATTTAAAACTGTTCGGTTATGTTTCTATTGATTACTAGTTGCAGGAAATAAGTTAGTCACTTTTTTGCACAGAGTTTTTCTTTAAATCTCATTTATATCCAAAATTATAATTATCAATAGAATACCTTAGGGTGAGTAAACTTTTTTACTAGGTGGTCAGAATGGGGTCTTTATATTAGTAAGATTAAAAATTAGTTTGACCCCAAAAACAATAGTGAAAAATTTTAAAAAGGTGAGTCACTTTTTATCGAACAGCATTATATATATATATATATATATATATATATATATATATATATATATATATATATATATATATATATATATATTTATTAAAGACATTTTTATGTTTAACGTTCTTTTTTTTTTTTTTTTATAGATACAAGTATTTAAGTAAATGCTCTGTTTATAATAAACAGTATTAAATAACATTTACCGGCTTGAATGTCCGAGAAATTTGACGTCATTTGTTTACATTTGATACGCCAGAGCAGTTATGAATGTACGAGATTCATGGAAGATTGAAGTTTATAAGCAGTAAATTCGACCTTGCATACCGAACGCTCCTTTGTGGCCGAGAGGTTAAGGCACGTCATCGTAAATGACGGTTCCGTATAGGATACGGGATCGAATCCTGTCAAAGGACGAATATTTTCTATGAACGATCGTTAAACATAAAAATGTCTTTAATAAATAAATTTTCGGACTTTGTCCATTTCTTAATATATATATATGTGTGTGTCTGTGTGAATAGTATCAAATTGTAATTGGTATGGTTTATTCCGAAGAGAACTTTTAGTCCATGTGACAGTTCAATGAAATTTTTTTTTCATTTCATAAAACATAATCAGTCCCATGAGGCGATGAATATACTTATATTCAATGAAATAAATTTCCTCGAAGACACATGGCACAGTGAATAAAGGCGTTAGTTAGATCCAGTGACAGGACCCAAATAGTGTGAGTTCAATACCTGGTTAAGGCAGTGGAGAACTTTCAGAGGGGAATTAACAGGAGATAACTGATAACTAACATTCATTAGCCATGGCACGTGGAACTAGACGAGTGAAATAAAGGGTTCAGTTCGACATTCCAACCACCTGAAGAAGGCTGAATCGTACAACCGTCGAACCGTTGTAATAAATATGGCGACAAAGATAAGGACAATAGTCTGAATAATGTAAATAGTGTACATAATACCTCATCTCAGAAATATAGATAGATAATAAATTTCTTACTGGCAATGGATTTTTAAAGTTTATTTGCTAATTATATATATATATATATATATATATATATATATATATTAAGAATTATAAAAAATATGTTTTTAAAATTATTTTAAAAAAATATTCAGGCGCATATTTTCTTCCACTTCTACTTACACAATATTTCACACATCACACACACATTATATATATATATATATATATATATATATATATATATATATATATATATATATATATATATATATACACATACTACAAAAGAAAAGGGGCGGTGATTCAGTCTCTTAATACACTCTGTGCCAAATCGTGCGACCGACAGCTTTCTTTGCGACATTCTCTTTTACGATATTTTTTAAGGACGGGTCCAAGCTAAATAGATCTCAAAGGTAGGTAAGAGGTTTGTATCACGCAGAATCTTCAGGTGTGTGTAGAGGGGGGTGAGAGAAAATCTAGAGAATAAGCATTCGAAATCAAAGATTATATCTTAAGGCGCCATCGATCTAAGTAACTATTTTAGCCAATGGTAATGGTAATATTAACCGTTTCCTTACAAGGAAACATTTGGCGTTCATTGATCAACAGACAGTACTACTTCCGGTTGAAATCAATAAAATCTTTCTACTATTGATGGTGGGTAATTATCCATACTGGAAAGAGCGATAAACTCCCTAACCTTTTATTTGAAGTGTAGCGGAATGTTAACGTCTACATTTATGCCATTATTTTAATTAAATATGCTAGCCATTTTAGTTATTGCTGCTGCTGCTGCTGCTGCTGCTGTTGGTAGTTCTCAAGTGACGTGGTTTCTGTTCTATATAAGCTCCGCCTTACAAAAAAATCAGGAAATTTTAATTTTACTATATGATGAAAAAAATTAACTAACATATACATCTAATAATTGTATCATTGTCCTGTTTTAAGTAACTAAATATCTACCTTTTGCTTTTGTTTCCAATAAAAGTAACAAACATTCCAACAGATAAATAAACTCTACCAAATTTCCTGTTTTTTATGGGGCCACCCTATAATACAGTTTTTTTGCGATTATGTAGCGCCAGCCCATAATGTTCATTGTAAACATGCTCAGGCTTTACTCGCTGAAAGCCTTTTTAACCATTTATCTTAGAAGGCTCTTGTATACAGCTGATAGTTTATACATTCCTGAACGTGTTTAGCGCTATGCATGGCATCCATATAAAAGCCTCGATCTGACAAGGATATATAAGAACATGACTTGAATTTTCAGGTTGATGTTTTTCCTTTCGTATCATTTTATAGAAATTAGATGAATCTACCTCTGTCACAGCCTATTCTATCATCAATTTCTTTTTCTGCTATACTTTATTTGTTATAACTAATCCATACGTCAAGAGATCTGAAGTGTTTCGTATTTAATAAATCCACATTCTGCATTTTTTATGGATTCAGTGTTGGTGCCATCATTGCTTTCATTTCAATTCCAGATCATAGTTTCTGTTTGAGTTATATATGCTATCCATTTTTATTGTTGCTGCTATTGAAATTCCTCAAGTGGTGTGGTTTCCGTTACTAGGTTTTTATAGCGGCAGTCTATAAGGTTCAAAAAAGGATGGTCTTCAGTAAGACTTACAGGCTTCATTTGCTCAAAGCCGTTTTTAAACGTTCATCTTAGAAAGTGGTAGTTTATATATTTCTGAACAGGTTCGGCAACATACATAAAATCCATATGAAAGTCTTGATTTGACCAGGTTATTTAAGAACATAACTGAAGTTTTTAGGTTAATGTTTTGGTCTTTGTAGCAATGTGCGGTGTTCGGTGAAATTTAATTTCTGTTTTATCTCCGATACTAAATTTGATATATCTGATTCATACGATGAGGTATCTGAAATATTTAGTATTTACTAGCAGCATGGCCCGGCGTTGCCCGTGCTTGATTCAAAAATCGTACGACTCATACAGCAATCGCTATCACTTGACTTAAAATATTTTTGTTCTTCCTTGCCTTTAAAGGAGTGCCTTTTGTCGTGCTGAATTTGCTACATGCCTTACTTCTTGCCTATCTCACACTGTGAATTTTTCTAAGCTCTATACTAAACATTAAATCTGTTACGAAAAAAGAACTAAACAAAATGAACAAAAAACGATCAGCTTTAAAAAAGGACTTGTAACTGGAAAAACCGAATGAAAAAAGAATGTTAACAACAAATACTTTTTCACACCCAACCCAGTTCTGCGGAATCAGAATCAACGTTGAGTTTAAGCAAGCGAATGAGCCAATTGGAGTAAAGTGCCATGCAGATTTAAATTTTTCCCACTTATGACGAATACAGCTATCGATTTTTTTTTTGCATGCTAGCATGCTAGTTAACATTCGTGTCAGTCAGCTGTAGACTCTCACACTGGCCAATAGAATCTTCCCGACTATTCGTGGCAGCCAGCTATAGGTTCTCACTCTGGCCATTACAAAATAGCCGCAAACTACATGAAAACTGCCGGAGAAGCATGAAAAAAACGATTATTTCCACTATCGATGGGAGTAGGGAAATGCAAAGTCGGTCTTGGCCTTCCTACTAACTTGGAGCATGTGCATGTAAATTTTGGTGCAAGTCCGTCGAAAATTGCGACCGAGCATTCGTTACACACACACACACGCACGCACACAAATCCTGCGTTTTATAGATAGAGATTAGTTCCACACCTGAATTTTTATGATGGATTCATGCTAGGTGCCATCACTGCTTTCATTCCAATTCCAGGTCATAGTTTCTGTTTTGAAAAGGCTTA